CCTCCTGAGTCGCTGGGATTACAGGCATGTGCTACCATGCCGGCTGCTTTTAATCTCTCTCTCTCTCTCTCTCTCTCTTTTAAAAAATATTGTTTTAGTTGTTGATGGACCTTTATTGGTTATAATATGTGGTACTGAGTATCGAACTCAGCACCACACACTTGGCAGGCAACTGCTCCACCACAGACTACAACCCCAGCCCCACCTTTAATCTTATTGGAGGGAAAAAGCCATAGAAACCAAAGCAGCATTAATTGATAGACCCTATCATACTTAGAAACTTAAACTGAGAATATTTCAAAAGCTTTAAACTTTATGGGTTTGAAGCTGTCATACAGTGTTATGAGAAGTGAAAAAGGGAAAGAAAGATCACCGGCTTCCAATAGAATATAAAGTACTTAATGGATTTGATTTAGCTCTAATGCTGTGTCCTAGGTCATTCAGATATACGGAGGAAGACACACACAAACACACATACACACTAAGGTTATGCACAAAGTAGAATATTGTGTATGTGTGTTATGGGTCCATTGACACAAAAGGAAGCTAAAAATATTAAGCATAGGCTAAAATCTTCTTGTTCCTGTAATCACTACTCATTAATCAACCACCATGAAATGAAGAATACCCTAACAGGGCTCCTGAGCATCATATATTATAGTTACTGAAGCAACAAATGGTCAGTGTCCAACATACTCATTCAATGTAGAATTTTATGACATGGTTTCAGAAAGAGAGGCTACCTTCCACTCCACTTCTGAAATGGCACCGTCTCTCATGGAGGTCTGTGTCAACAGTCTGGGGTCACATGCTGCAGACATTTCCCATGTATTTAATTATAACTTAAATGGGACAAGACTACACACATTGCTCAGCAACTTGCTGTAGGTATCTGAGAAATTGTTTTTGACACTTTTCCTTATGTTTGACTTTGATACAATTATTATCTTAAATACAAGGAAGTTGATTTTCTTTTTCCTTTCAAGTCTTCCAGGAACACTGATACTTCAGGATGGTAACTGTGATTTTCAAGTACCGTAATTGTGTTAAGTACCCTGACACATCCTGTCCTCGTTTCCCTCATTTTTGTACATGGCATTGCTTCTCCTTAAAGTGACTGACACAATGACTAGTTGGTTTAGTTGGATTTGGAATATCCTCAAATATTTCTACCAACTTTATCCACAAAGCATTCTCAGTCTAGCTCTTATTTCTTTTAATCTTGCTTTACTTTATTTTATTTTTTTTTTAGGCAAAAATCTTTATTTCTGACACTGAGTTGAGCTTATCTGTGAAGGAGATTCTTGGGTTTGAGAAGCAAGAGAGTAATGGTAACTACTGTTTGGGACTCAAAAGGAGTCTATCAAAAGTGCAGTTAGGCAGATATTGCATTTGGACAGTATTTATACTTGGATAAATAGGCAAAGCGGCACCCCTTAATTTATTGATAACAAAAAAATGTGCATCCTTTTTATTCTGTTTAGCTCCTTGCCAATTTGTTTTGGGTAGGATTCCTCGCACTAGTGTTAAAGTAACAATATTTTAATCACTACAACCCCATAGGGGCTGATTACGAAGGGAAGCTGGGCTCAGTGCTCATGCTGTTTAACATGGGAATCTCTATAGTCTTCATCTGTTCAAAAGTGGAATCAGGGGCACATGAGGCTGCAACATTCTTTATGCCACTGGAAATGAGCTTGTTCTGAAGGGCTTAAAGGGTGGTTATAGGGTTCTGGGTCTAGCCAAAGAATTAAGGCCTGCTTCCCCCAGATTGAGGCAAGGCACTTTAATCCCTTGCCTTTTGCCTATGGGATCAGGTAGGCCTTACCTGGAAAACCCCCCCTGGTTAGTGAGACAATCACCATTTACCATAAATTTTACGTATTTTCTTAAAAGAAAATGCAGGTGAGTAGAAAAGAATTTTGGAACTAAAGGAATAGGTGGGGGCACTGTGACTAATGAAAATGAGAAGGAGGTTAGGAATGAGAACTGTTCCCATAGACCATGAGATTATTCTCATCCACCTTTTATCCTGGTCAAATGCTCCCAGCTCAGCCCTAAGGCCAGCCCGGCCTTCTCATTTCAAGTCCAGACCTTTGTGGTAAACAGATGTTTGCTCAGGTTTCTGGCTATCCTTTTACATACAGTATATAAAAAGGAAGGGAAATAGGGAATCAGGTTAAGCCGTTTTCTTTCAGTTACTCAGCATGTAGTCACAGGCAGTGGAATTCAGAACCTCTGATGTTAATCTTTGGCATTGCTCTTGAAGTAACTGGACTGATTTGAGTTAGAGGGGGGAGGGTCAGTGAAGGGCTCAGCGTGCTTTGTGGCCTGATGAAAGGGAAATCTCCATTATATGTTGTTCCTTCAAGTATGCTGTTGCCCTGCTGAAGTCAGAGACAGCTTCTCTCTGCACTGAGCTCTCATAAATAAATAAATAAATAAATAAATGGTATCTTTTCCAACTGAGCATCAACTTCATACTCACGGCAGAATTTCTCAATCTCATTCATTGTTATCATTGTTATTGACATTTTGCACTGAGTAGTAGTCTGTTATGGGTCTGTCCTGTCATTGGGGGATGTCTAGCAGCATCCCTGACCTCTGCCCAGCAGCTGGTACCCTTTCTACCCTGTACCCTTATACCTCCCATAGTGACAGCCAAAAATGCCTCCAGATACTGCCAGATGTTCTCTGGGGAGTACAACACGCCCTAGTTGTGAACCACTGATTTAAACAAAGGGATTGTCCTATGTGGCTGTGCGAAGAGCAAGGCTGTAATAGGGTGGTGTGGTGGAAAAGGAGAAAGATGAGGTAAATACACAGATCCCAATATTCTCTTTTGATGAAAAATAGAAAATAAATTCAAAGGGAAAAAGCGATACACTGCCATATACAATGCTGACTGGTCCTTGGCTTGCAATTTGTAGGTAAGATTTGTTTAACAAATTGCAGAAAGACAGTCCTCTACCCAATATTCACCAGTAGAGCTAGATATATTTTCTTTAGATTGGTCTTTGAGGGTCTGGTTACCTCAATGGCCAGGATGTCAAGCAAAGGTGGCTGGAGGAATGATGCTTCTGTCACCATGCTTTTCCTTTATTTATGTTATTCTACATCTTTTATTTGAGATGCTAATCTTCTTTTTACTATTTAAAAGGAAAAGATAGGAAATGGGAGGATGCTAGATCTCCATGGGGGATGGGGAGGGAGGAGGAGGGATATCATAAGTGAGATTTGTAGATGAGATAAAATGTATATAAATCATGTATGGCAGGTATCTCAGCTGACACCATAGATGCCATTTGAATGGCTGAACACACTAGTGTTTCTGTATTGACTAAGTGACAATGAGTCCATTATATTGGAAGCAATTCTATGGCAAATCCTTTAGTAAAAATTAGCAATCATGAATGATTTATCTTTTTGATAAATACCTCATAGTACATGTTATGCTTTCCTGCAGCAAATTATGTAGGCAATTTAAAAGACAGTGGAATTCAGTTTGTAATCAACAAAGTCCAGCTTTGTTTATTGAAAATATATTCACTCTTTCTTCTTCATGAATGTAATGGTGAAAACTAATTAAAGTTATTATAAATTGTACCCTTAATATATGCTCTCAAGTTCATCAGTCTATAATCTAAACAGCCATATGACATTCATATTAAGAAATGTTAACAATTTTCTAAAATCCAGAGCTTCAAAAACTTATTCATTTATCCCCATATTGTGTTTTAAAGAGTTTTTCAAGAGCATATACCCCAAAATTTATGATATTAGAGGAACAACTAAAAACGAGACTAAAAACATCACAAGTCAGATTTATTTAATAATAGTAATGTTGCATTGAGATGTAGCATTTGTGCCACCATTTATAGCATGTCTACAAATTCTCCAAAAGCTTCTATCCTTAAGATTAATAGCATTATTGATCAGTTGCATCACTAGTTCATAAACAATTCCTTTCTTTTTCTTCTTAAAAAAAAAAAAACCTTTAAAGAGAACAACTATATCTAATGGAAGACAAAACTGAGGACACCTGCAGTTCACTGGTATAGGCTTTTGCCTCCAGTTTCCATGGTAACCTGTGATCTGTATTCCAATCACACCTTTGAAAGGCTTGTTTTCTCTCTCCATCATGAAAATTTCGCCAGAAGCACTGAAGGTACCAAACATTAAATTTTAGCTTGTCTTTTTTTTTTTTTTTTAATTGGAGTAGGGAACAAAGAAAGAAGATAACACCCATAGGCTTATCATGTAAATACAATGGGAACATACAGTCACTAATTTTAAGATGACCACCGAGATAAAAAAAATACCTGAATGGTAAATGAATAACTAGTCAGCTTCTCTAACAAATTCTTATCTTGAACAAAAAATTGTATAAACATTTATTAAATTTGATAGGGTAAAAAAAAAAAGGAGAACTCGGTTATAAAAGTCCACAATTTTACAAATCAATGGTTTTCAACTGGAGTGATTTTGCTTGCTGAGAGAATTTGGTAATATCTGGAGATATTTTGATGGTCAAAACTAGGGAGTGTGTGGGAATTATCCTGGCTCAAATAGGAGGCTGAGAACCCCTACAACTAGTTCATACATGGTATACCAGCATAAGGGAAATAAATGTTCAAATGAATATAATGCTTTGGAAGCAATCATACTGGTGATTTGCTTCTCTGTTCCTGTGCTCTCCTAATTTCTTATTTCATTTAAATGCCAAATGAAGGTGGTGGGGAAGAAAGAAAGAAAAAAAATCAAACAAAACTTTCTCTTATCATTCTTTGGCTAAAAAATGAACATTTCCAGTCTGCACGCATTGACCTAATTTGGTGCAGCCTCGTATAAACTGTATGCATTCAGTCAGCATTTCCACTGCAAAACAGCTACCAATATATTGGGCTGACCTGACATTTGGATTAACTTAAAGTTACAATAATTTTCTTGTTAAGGGAAAACATACTTATCTTTCCCCCATGGAATACAAATTCACTTACCTTTAGTGTGTGTCTATCTAAATGTGGTTACATTTTGTCACCCTGATTCTGGAGGTCAGGCTTGTCCAGAGTTAGTGCCCAGGTCAAGAGGGCATCCGCCCTGTAGGACAACCCGCAAGTTGATCATTTTCCTTGGCTGAAACGTAGGCGAACATGAAAATAATCCAAATACAGCCAGAGGGCGCCAAATTGCCGCAAATAAAAGTTCCAAAGGTTCAGACGGGTTTTGCGGGAAGGTAAAATTGACTTTTGTCTAATGAAAGCTACCTTTGCAAACGATGTCACGTTAGGCTATAGTTTGCATTTCCCTTTTGTCAACAGGTAAACACAGTAATCATATCTCCCACCCCTGGAGACTATTTTGTGTCCTGGTATTACAAAAAGTGGCCGCCCCCTAGGATACCTGGACACATCGCAGTTGGCCGCAGGTTTCACCCGGGCGCTTTCTAGCAGCGCCGTGCGGGCTGCCTCAGCCAGCCCTGTCTTCTGAGAACTAACTGATGGCTTCCATTAAAGCACAGAAATAAAAAAAAAAAAAAAAAAATCGACGGCCCCTTTGCCGGGGCGCTTCTCTTTCCTCCTTCCTCTCCCAAGTCTCAGGCGCATCCTCGGAGGGGCGACTCTGCCTGTCGGGCCAGCTGGACCTTGGCGGTCGCCCTTCCCCAAAACAGCAGCCTCGGGGGGCTCAGCCTTGCGGGGAGCCTCCCGAGGAGCAAGTCTCCTTCGCAGAAGAGCAGCCCGGACGTGCCTGCGGTCGGGGCCACTCTAAACCCGCCGACAGCTGTTCTGATGGGCTGAGGGAACCACCAGGTCTCCCCCAACCTCACTGCCTGCCGGTATAGCGGAATCTCAGCGAGAAGTCTGAAGCCGGCGGGACTGGGGTGTGGAGAAGGGTAGCTTTTGGCGAGGGCGTCAGTCTCGCCCCTTAAGTCTGAGCGAGAGCCCAGCACTTCTTATTCGAGCGTTCCAAATAAACGAGGGGGGTAGGGAGGGAGGGAAGGAGGGAGGAGGAGAGGGGGGAGCGAGCCCCCACGAACAGCCCCTGCGCGGAGGGGGAAGGGAGGGCAAGGGGATGGAGGGGAGCAGAGGGAGGGGGTTTATGAAAAATATGGATAGAGGGCAATTGAGGGGAGGCATGAAGGGCACAGAGTTGGAGGGGAGGGGAGGAACCGGCATGGAGGGGAGCGGAGGCTGGGGGTGACTGCAGGTGGGGAGGGAGGTGGCGGTTC